CTACTGAGGGGCATCAGGGTTGGTTCCATATCTTAGCTATGGTAAATAATGCTGCAATAAACATAGTCGTGCTGGTAGCTTTAGGGTGGTCTTATTGTACCCTAGTCTTATAGACAACCTTCTTCTCTTCCATTTTCTTTTGTTGTTGTTTTGTAACCTATTGTTCTGTTGAACATTTGTATTGAGAGGATTACTGTCTCATTCCTCATTCCTTTTCCATGGAAAATAAGGCCTTATTCTAAACCATAAAACTATAAAGCCTGTAAGTCATTTACCAAGAAAAGCCCATCCTAAAGAAAAATTGTGTTGCCAGCTGTGAAAACAGAAATTACATTTATCCCCCTGCAGTAATATTAAACACTAATACCTTTTAAATGTTTGCTATGTGCAAGATATTGTGTTCAGAAGTATCTTACCAGCTTTCTCTGAGGAAGACTACATCATTATTCTCCTACTGAAAGACAGAAATAAAATCTGCAGTAAATCGACTTAGATTTACTGCACTTACTGCACTTAGATTTTTCAAAATCAAGTTCTTTCCATTGCATTGATGATTCAGAATGGGTTGAGAGTTTCTTGCAAGCAGACAATTTCAGTTTGGTTTTTTAAAGAGAATTCACAGTGCTTGGACAACTCAGAGATGTGGGTACACAAAATGGTGTCTATTGGTCACCAGAATGGGAAGACTGTTTGTTCCATTGGATTTTGCAGATGTTAACAAGAGTTCTCCAAATGCTGACTTTCATGACTTTGCAAAGTGAAATTCCACATTCAAGGGAGTATTTTGCAGATTTTTTCAGGCAGCTTTTTTAACCAAGGGAAAAATTTATTATTAACACTAAGTAACATGGCCTAGTTACATAAATGAGACAGAGGAATCTCACTACTCTAAGGTTGTGAGTCAAAGTGGCTCTGATGGAATCAGCTTAGTCAGACAAATGTAGCTTTCATATTAGGATCTAACATGCATTGGTGAGCAGGAAATCTCTTGGTTCACTGCTAATAATTTTCTTTTTGCTAATAAACATATATGTGAGTTATGTTCCAGTAATATAGTCTCACTCACATGTACTCTAATTACACTCATTTAAGAATCAGATAAAAGGCACATCATAACACATTGGCACAGGGCAGACGTATCTTAAGTTTGTGATAACTGAATTCATCAATAATAGCCAGTCTTTCAAATCACATCTAATCTACCATTCACAATACTGAGGCCTGTTGTAAGATTATGCAATTCTGAAAAACTGTTTTGAAAATCACAAACTACTCACAAGTACCATATATCTCAGTAGGGACAAAGGCAACATCTTTCCTTAAACTTCTATTCATAAGTTTTCAGAAAAGTTGCAAAACTATTAGGTGCAAAGTACAATTTCCAAATTTCACTTAAATTTTACATTTTATTCAATTTGCTTCCTTATTCTCTCCGTATAACCACGTGAACCTGAGCAGAATTAATAATACTATTTCTATAAATTTCAATGAATATTGTATAAAGTTGAGAATATCCTCTTATAAACCACAGGGAAGTTTTCAATGTCAGTACATTCTCCAATATCATAGTAGTTTTATCTAATATACTATTCATATTCAACTTCTTAAATTTCTATTTTTTGTTATTTTAAATGTAAGGTTACAGTTACATAAAATACTCAACTTTTATTCAGTATCCCTAATATGATTCTTTATAATATTTTTTAATTTCTAGAGGAGATCCAATATAGGATAAGGTGGAATTTACTTATCATTTTTCTTTCATTTTGTGTATGTGTGTGTGAGGGAGAGACAGAGAGACAGAGAGAGAGACAGAGACAGAATCAGAGACAGAAACAGAGACAGAGAGAATGTTGGTATTTTACCTAAAGGCCTATTTAATCTGAAATATTTATCTAATCCCCCTATGTATGTCTTAATGAAATTGGCATCTAGGGAGAAAACAGTTTCCTTCTCCTCACCATTTTAAGTTGAATATTCGTTATTTTGAGTCTACTTGAAATTTCCTCCTCACTGAGTTTAGGGGATGCATTTGAATCCCACATAGGGAGTTTTGTGTCTTCCTTAGAGGGCTTTCCATCTGGCAGCAAATAATGAGTCATCTGTCTCATACTAGTGATGCTGATCTGATCACCTGTTCTACATCCAGATGTGTTTCAGTTTTCCCATGTACAAACTACTGTCTGTAAACAAGCTTTAAGACTATAGGAAGATTCTACTTCTTGTCAAAATTCTGTCATGTAAGTGGCATGCATTAATGTTCACAGGGTTGGGGTTTCTAACTTCAACATTACTTTTAGAAGGATTAGGTAACATTGGAATTCTACTCTTCACAAGAGTCTCTCTCTCTTTATTGGATTATTGAAAAGAAAAACCATTTCCTCTTTTTTCAGTAGTATATGATACCTCCACAAGATCATTTTTATGCACAGAAATTTCCCATGTTACACTTTCAAGTGTGCTGTCAAGTGTTTACTGTTTCATATCTGTATCATTAAAGTATTTTCTTTCTGGTGCAATAAGCTGTC